GGGAAAGCAGTGGACATGATATACCTCAACTTTAAGAAAGGCTTTTGATACAGTCTCCAACAGCATTCCCACAGCAAGCTGAGGAAGTATGGGTTGGATGAATGGACTGTAAGGTGGATAGCAAGATGGCTGGATTGTCAAGTTCAATGGCTAGTGATCAATGGCTCAAGGTCCAGTTGGTAGCTAGTATCAAGTGGAGTGCCCCAGGGGTTGGTCCTGGGACTGATTTTGTTCAATATCTTCATTAATGATCTGGAAGATGGGATGGACTGCACCCTCAGCAAGTTTGTGGATGACACCCAGTTGCGGGGAGCAGAAGACATGCTAGGGCTAGGATTCAGAGTGACCTCAACAGTCTAGCTCATTGTTTTGGAGCTACGTGCGAAATGTCCTGACTTCGCCTAAAACCTTAATCTAAATTGTACCTTTAGAAGTTTTTTACAAAGAAAGTAAATGTCCTAAATTCCGAGAAATCAAAGCCTGGGGCCTTTTAACCAGACTGGTAAAAAGAAAAGAGTATTTACAGTGATATGGAAGTCTCCCCAAGAATAATTTAAAAATGCTCAACAAAGGTAATTTCTGTTGAGTAAGATCCGAGCCCAAATTTGGGAGTTATGATGAATTGAGTAGGAGGAGCCCAATGACGGCAGCTCACTCAATAAAAACCTGTAACTTACTGTCCCAATTTGGAGGTGACTTCACTTGCAGAACAACGAAGGAAGAATCGCAAGTATAAGTTCAGATTAGATTGATCGCCTAATCAAGCCTCTCCGTGAACACGAATCTCTTAGTTCACGCTGAAGCCGCGGAGCACCTGAAAGGGACTGAAGGAAGGGGACGTAGTCCTATCACTGGTGAGCCCAGCTCATTGAATCGTATTGCTGAGGCCAGCCTATTGAACCGTACTACTGAGGCCAACCCATTAAATTGTACTACTGAGGAATGAAAACATATTTTGGTATTTGGCTTCTTGGAATTCTAGGATTGTAAGTATATTATGAAAAATAACAGTATTGATTCAAATTTAACTTTTAGTTGTAATTGTAGTTGTTTTTGTAGCACTAATTCTTATAGCCTTGTTTGGGAAGGAAGTGCATTCGGAGCATTGTTTCTGATATATGTAATTATTGTGTTTTTAATGTTTGTGGTGTTTCTTAAAGCTAAGCAGTGTTATATACGTAGCAAAGAGTTTTAAAATAAAATTGTGTTGTATGAATTAAGTGTGTAATCATTGTGAAATCGTGCAATCAGCTAACTACTCCCCCAGCCAGTGCATCAAAACGAATCAGTAAATTGTGTGGGATTTTCTCTATTCCATAACCCACTAGAGACATCAACAAGGACAAGTGCAAAGTCCTGCAGATAGGACAGGAGAATCTCAAGCGCTGTTATAGGTTGGGGACCAACTGGCTAAGCAGCAGCTCTTCAGAAAAGGGCCTCGCAGTTACAGCAGACTATAAGCTTGATATGAGCCAACTCTATTCCATAACCCACTAGAGACATCAACAAGGACAAGTGCAAAGTCCTGCAGATAGGACAGGAGAATCTCAAGCGCTGTTATAGGTTGGGGACCAACTGGCTAAGCAGCAGCTCTTCAGAAAAGGGCCTCGCAGTTACAGCAGACTATAAGCTTGATATGAGCCAACCGCGTGCCCTTGTTGCCAAGAAGGCTAACAGCATACTGGGTGGCATTAGTAGAAGTGTTGCCAGCAGATCAAGGGAAATAATGATTCCCCTCTTCTGCACTGGTGAGGCTACATCTGGAATACTGTGTCCACTTTTGGGCCCTCCACTACAGAAAGGATGTGGATGAGTTGGAGAGAGTCCAGTGAGGGAAACAAAAATGGTGAGGGGACTGGGGCACGTGACTTACGAGGAGAGGATGAGGAAACCGGTCTTATTTAGCCTGGAGAAGAGAACACTGCGGGGGGATTTGATAGCAGACTTTAACTACCTGAAGGGTGGTTCCAAAGAGGATGGAGCTAGACTACGGGCGGGCAAAGTTTGGCCCATGGGCTGGAGTAAGCCTGTGGCGGACTCCATTTCCCAGCAGCCCCTGCGGCTGGTTTCCATGAAGACCCCAGGAGTCGTGAGGACATGACAGTGTGGGGCCAAGGTTTCCATGGAAACCAACCAAAGTAGTGGTGGTGGGGCACATGGCTGGGTGGGGAGCTGCTCCAGGGCCTCGGCCGGTATCTTGCAGTGACAGCACAGGCTGGAGCCAGGGCAGAGCTGTGATCTGCTACCTGCATGCCCTGGGCAGCAGTGTGCAGGCAGCAGATCACAGCCCTGCCCCACAGTGTCACTGCCACAAAATCCCAACCCCTGCCCCAGCCCCGCACCCAGCCAGCACTGCTTGGGCCGGTCTCCATAGAAACCCTGGCCTCACGCTGTCATGGCCCCACTGCTCCTGGGGTCTCCCTGGCACCTGGCTGGACAGGGACTGCTGGGAAGGGCCAGCAGCCGGATCTGCCATTTTGCCCACCCCTGTGCTAGACTGTTCTCAGTGGTGGCAGGTGGCAGAATAAGGAGCAATGGTCTCAAGTTGCAGCAAGGGAGGTTTAGGCAGGATATTAGGAAAAACTCTCTCACTAGGAGTTTAGTGAAACACTGGAACAAGTTACCTAGAGACATGGTGGACTCTCTAAGCTTGGAGGTTTTTAAGGCCCAGCTTAACAAAGCCCTGGCTCGAATTATATAATCGGGAATGCTTCTGCTTTGAGCAAGGGGTTGGACTAGATGACCTCCTGAGGTCACTTCCAACCCTAATTTTCTATGATTCCATGATCCCCAACTATCTCATCCCAGCCAAGACTTGGTATACCTGGGTCTTAAAAACCTCTAAGTATTGGTGATGCATAGGGGGTGTACGCAGGTGCACATGCACCCCCTGATATTGGCCATGCACCCCCCTGGAAGCTCTAGCCGTGAAACCAGAAGTGCTGCTGGAAATGCACTTCCAGTTCCTCCCCTACCCCAGTCAGCGATCGGCTGCTGGGGGACACCCCCCCCCCGTCGGCTTGGGAGGCACCAGTCGCCCATGCCTCTAAGGATGGTGATTCCACAACCTCTCTGGGTATTGTTTTCCCTAACCAAACATATAATTGTTACAAATCTCAAGACAGATGAAACTTCAAGAAACACTGCAATAAGAAGTGACACACAGGTTGTCACAGGAAGTGGTTTACCAGAAAAAGTGGTTTACCATATGTGGCATGCAACATTAAATCGACATAATTAAAAGACAAATAACAGGGTTGTAATCATTATTGCAAATTACCAAATGCATTATAATTCAGATAGTTATTTCAGATCATAAAAGTAGTTTTCTCTTCATTAAATAACCAATATATACTGCAAATTGTTTCAGCATCAAAGAGTGGGCTCCCCTCTCCACACTTTACCAGCCCCCTTTCAAAAGCAGGGGACCGAAGAACAGCAGGACAGGCACTTCTGCAATACCTTCCATGCGTGGATCCCAAACAGTAGTAATCATCTCTCATTGCCCACCCCTCATGAGGTTGTAAAATAGTACCTTTTCCAGTTCAGAGGGAGAAACTTAGGCAGATAGGTTAATCTTAAACTACTGTTCTTGAAAGCATAGACTTTAAACACTATGGAAAAATTACTAATGCTATACACAGACTGACCATTAAAGGTGCTTTCCTCTACATCATACCAAGTGAACACTTGAGGATACATGCTGGAAGTCATTCAAGAACAGCTAGGCCAAGTCTATTTAGAGATAAAGAAGATCTTAAAATACTTCAGGTTGTGTATGGAAAACCAGGCTACAAAAAGAACCTTCCAAAACCGCTCTGCAAAGAAGAATAGGCACAAGCCAGGTTACTTATGAGTGACACTTAAAAGAACAAGTGTTAAGAAAGCCAGTTGTCCCTAGAATTGGTGAGGCCTTTGGAAGGGTATTATTAAGAGACTAAATACTTCTTCTCTCTTCTAGCAAAGATCTAATTAGGTAGATATTTTTGATGAAGCTCATTTACAAAAGTTGGTGAGGTAGTTCTTATTTTTACCAACAGAACTGTAGATCATTTTAAATAAAGACTTTTTTTTTTTTTTTTAAACACAAATAACCTGTAATTTCAAGGTCAGCTATTGAAGTCTTATGCCCAATTCCCATTACGTTTTAACACTTTTGCTAACAGGTTCCTGAGGTTGGCTTAGATCCTGCTCCTCCTACAGGAATTTACATACAGAGGCCCTCATGCCTGCACAATGTCCTGTTCTTGAATCAGGACCAACAATGCTGGAAGAAAAGAAACATTAACGCACGACGAGGAGATCCCTCACTATCTTAACTATCTCCAGGCCTTAAAAAAATGAATGTCTCCTGTTTTATTTTTAAGTGACTCTGCAAAATTTAACCAAAAGGCAACCTTTAAGAAAAAGTTTTCTGACTTGTATATTCACACAGCATGTAGCACCGAGCAAGATGCACCCTCGGTCCCAAGAAGCCCACAGTCCAAGGGCCCGGTTCTACCAGGACTGGCTAGCGTTTCCTAGGCACGGCAGTTTCTGCAGGATTAGGCCTCAAGTGATAAAGAGGACGTGAAAACAGAGAAGAAGGGGGACACTTGAAATGCAATACTGACCTGCTTGAAGGTGCTGGTAAGGAAGTAGATGAGGGAAAGTCCAAATACAATGCCCAGCACCCAACGCTTCCTCAGCAGCTTGCGCCACACCATGGACACAAGCTGCACCATCCCCAGGACCCCCAGGGTGAGGATCCTCTGCTCTTGCCACTGCTCCTCCGCCCCGCGCTCAGCACTCCCCCGGATTTCCCCCCACACCCGCCGCCTTGCTACTTTGGGGGACTGGAAAAAGTCTCCAGGGCCAGACAGGTTTTCCCCAGCGCGTCATGGCCAGCGGCAGCCCTCGAGCCCTGCAGGCGGGGAAGAGCAGGACAAGCCTAAAGGGCACAAGCGCCGAGCGCAGCCGCGGCACGGCCACGGGCAGGCCG